CATTCAATTTAACGTGCTTTAATAAATCCTCAAATACAGCTGATGACAATCTCCTGACATCTCTCAGTATTACTTCATTAGCATCTTTATCAATGACAATGGTGATTCTTTCATATTCAAATGGTGAAGCTCTTGAAAATTGCTCATTTAAACATTGACTAAGTTTATTTTCCTTTAACACTTCAATAGCTTCTTTATATTCCTGAATGACTACCTTTGCCTCCTCTATATTAAACTCATCAATGAAAAACTCCAGCAAACTAATGTCATCAAGTGAACTGTTATCTCCAGCTAATTGTAGAATTTCATGGACATCTTTACACTGGGCTAACTGAGGCCTTAATGCTTTGTCATATGCACCCAGTACATATTTGATATTATCAATATGTGGAGCCTGAGGGTTTCTCATCATGATTGATCCAACTTTGAAAAGTGTTTGCCCTAACTTCAATCGCAGCATCTTAAACTCTTTAGTAACACTTGTAGGAAGATAAATTTTCAACCCGCCTTCCTCTAATACTATAAAATAGAAATCATTATGAGACTACATGCACGTATTTAAATTAAAAGTGGCTAATATCTTACCATTGCCTTCAATTAAATGATCAAGTTCTCCTATGAAACAATGATAAAGATAATTATTTTCAAATACTTTTCACAGCTACATGTACTCACTGTAGGCTTTCATAATAGTATTTCCTATCTCAGCAGTGGTTGCGTTGCCACTTAAAATTTTAGCAAATGATTCAAGTTTGTTTAAGTCTTTACAAACAGCTTCTTTTATTTGAATAAGCAGTGCTCTTCCTTTTTTTTTGGCTGGGAGGGTCATCTCTTTTATCAGTTCTGCTGCATACAAAACTATAACCAACTGAGATAGAGCAGACACAAGAGATCGTTTTGAAGTATAACGGGCTAGAATTTTACAAGCAGGATGCCCTAAAACATCAAACAGAATAAATTATTTATATATAATTGTATCTTAACTCACTGTCCATATCTATTTTATCAGCTACTCCGTTCATTCCTATTTTCCTCAATGCTGATACCAATGAATAGATACTAGGACCACCTTTAGTCTCCTGTACTTTATCAGCTTTCTCTAACCATTTAGCGAGACACTCACGAAGGCAGCTCTCAATATCTCCTTTATGATTTAGCATGATGACATCCAGTGTAGTAGGAGATAGACCAAGATAAAGACCAAGATCAAAACATTTGACTCCTGAATAACCATGTCTCCTAAGTAACTGAAGTACCTCAACAAGATCATTAACTAATGATGTAATGAGTGCTTTTAAAATAAGAAATAAAGAACCAGACATTCACTTTCCAGCTCAGGAGGAGAAGGAACAGAAGTCATTGGAGATCGCTTGGAGACAGATGAAAACTGCTAACAAGAGGAAAAGAGAAGGGCTCAAAACTTTGCCTCCCACGCAAATGAAGTGATAGAACCACCCACGCATCAGTTAGTAATAATTATAATCATTTATTATAAAAGTCACAGTAATTAACATGACAACAATAATAATAAATCAGTTCTTATTTTTATTTTTCTGGACAGCAGCCACTAATGCAACTAAAAGAGAGAGAGAGAGTGTGTTCATACTAGTACATTATCCAATGGCATTACTCACTGATCAGTACTGCTAGTATCACCATTAATATGAACAAGAGAACAAACCAAAGCTTAACATTCTTCCAACAAACTTTCCTCTTCAACCTTCGAGCAGTGAAACTAAAATTAACAGCATGATCACTCAACGACTCTAAAAACAATAACAAAAACAATAATAATAATAATAATAATAGACCTCTGGAGCTGTGAATGACTAGGTGTATGAATATCATTATTTTAAGATACGGTATCCACCTACACATAATAATTGGCTGCAATTTTGGACGGCAAGATTCAATGAAGAAGGAATGGAGTAAACTATAAAAATGATTTGTCTAGGAGGTCTGGGACTCTTTCGAGCTACAAAAGTTGGTTGGAAGAAAGAATGGGTGCTACCAAGCATCTCAAAAAACAGATTTGATGCAATGTGCAGCAGATTCTTTACTATAGCTTGCTTTCTGCTTTTGCTCATTGGTTCACCATAGAAAGTTGCTGTCCATGGAATTTATTTCCTTCTCCACCACACCCACTGCCGTATTTACTCTTGTGACATAGTTCATTCTCACCTCGAGAGGTCTATATCATTGTTGTTGTTGTTTACCTGTTCTTGCTTGTAAGTCGTTTAAATTGTCTCCCCTGTCCATTAACTTTGAAATATTATCACGAGTTATCTCATTAACCTTTGGAACAACAAAAATAATTAAATAAAATACACATTACCATACACTGTATGAAGGTCTATGCATTATATATAAAATGGAGTATATATAATCTACTCCTTTATTATTATTTACTTTTTTCACTTTTTCTTGAGCTGCTAACAGTCTCTCATTCTCTCCTGTACTGTCCTCCTCCCTAGCAACAATACAACAATACACTAACATCACATTAACTGAGACTTCTTACATTTTAAACTTAAAGAGAAAAACAAAGCTTTAGAGATTAGATCTTACTCAAGCCCCACCCACCAGGTCCACCTTTTGAGCTACGCCCATCAAACGTGGGTGTGTTATTTCAAAATGGCGTCCGAGAGGAAATTCTTTGTTGGAGGAAACTGGAAAATGAACGGAAACAAGAACAGTATTGAAGATATCATTGGATACTTGAAAACTGGACCACTCTCACCAAATACTGGTACTAATAATAATAATGATGATAATAATAATAATAAAATAATAATTAGATTATAATGAAGTTATTTTTTACATGTACATGTACACATGTGTTGTGGGGGTAGTGTTTCCATTACATGGTGCGGTACATGTAACTGTTCTTCTTGTCCCCAGAGGTGGTTGTGGCTCCTCCTAGTGTATACTTGCAGTTTGTTAAAGACCGTGTTCCTGCTGGTGTGGGCGTGGCTGGACAGAATTGTTATAAATGTGAGAAAGGAGCTTTTACTGGAGAAATAAGGTCATGAATAATAATTAATTAATTAATAATGATAATAATTAATGATAATAATAATAGTGAGACACTTGAAATACATTTTTGCTAGTCTAAAGTTAAATAGTTTAATAATTTATTATTATTATTATTATTAATCAACAGTCCCCAGATGTTGACTGATGTTGGTATTCATTGGGTGATACTGGGACACTCTGAGAGGAGGAACGTCTTTGGAGAAACTGATGAAGTTATTATTATTATTATTTATTTATTTATTTATTATTATTATTATTATTATTATTATTATTATTATTGTAAAATAAACCCAAAAACAAGAACTAATTAGAGCTAATAATAGAGAAAAACAAAAAAAAGGGAAAGGAGAGGGAAGGCCCTATGAGGAAAAAATAAAATAAAAATAAAACAAGGAAACTATACATGTATTTAAAAAAGCTAATAATAAGGAAAGAAGAAAGAGTCAGACCTGCCCATCCACATCGGGTGGAAGGATAGGGGAGCGGCTCAACCACATGTGAGCATTAGCACGCCACAGTGCAACCGAAAGCCTCTGGAAAAGATGTAGGGACACCTCCAGCTGATCTAGCCCCCGGCGAGAGGCTAGATGACCACTGATGGTGCGGAGCACAGAAACGGCTGTTATTATTTTTAATTATTATTATTATTAATTATTGTTATTATTATTATTATTATTATTATTGTTATTGTTATTATCATTGTTAGTTGATATCAACTAAGGTTGGTTATGCTTTGTCCTCTGGTCTCAGTGTCATCGCTTGTATCGGAGAGAAACTGGAGGAGAGAGAGTCAGGACAAACTGAATCAGTCGTATCTCAACAACTGAGAGCAATAGCAAGTAATGATAATGATAATAATAATAATAATAATATTAATAATAATTTACGTGTATCTTTAAAATGGAGAATTCTCTCCCTTTGATTTTTGTCCAAAGTCCCTGTACTGTAGATTATAGTACAGGGACTTTTGTCCAATTTCGGAGCAACTTTAAAAAATCATAAAAATCCAAACTTGATCGGAATCAGCTCAATCTCTCTACATAGCATAAGTACATGTATATGCATCAGGAAATGTAATAAAATTGAGGAATTCTCAACTTGTCAATTTTTGTGAAATTTGACAAAAATCCCTGTACTATAGTACAGGGACTTTTGTCTGATTTTAGAGCAACTTTAAAAAATCATAGAAAATCCAAACTTGATCGGAATCTGCTCAAACTTTCTACACAGCATAAGTACATGTATATTTATCAGAAAATATAATAAAATTGAGGAATTCTCTACTTGTCAATTTTGGTGAAATTTGACGAAAATCCCTGTACTATAGTACAGGGACTTTTGTCCGATTTTGAAGCAACTTTAAAAAATCATAAAAAAATCCAAACTTGATTGGAATCAGTTCAAACTTTCTACACAGCATAAGTACATGTATATGCATCAGAAAACGTAATAAAATTGAGGAATTTTCTACTTGTCAATTTTGGTGAAATTTGACAAAAATCCCTGTACTATAGTACAGGGACTTTTGTCCGATTTTGGACCAACTTTAAAAAATCATAAAAAATCCAAACTTGATCGGAATCCGCTCAAACTTTCTACACAGCATAAGTACATGTATATTTATCAGAAAATATAATAAAATTGAGGAATTCTCTACTTGTCAATTTTGGTGAAATTTGACAAAAATCCCTGTACTATAGTACAGGGACTTTAGCCTGATTTTGGAGTGACTTTAAAAATT